TGAAACCGCAAGGCCCGACTACGCTGTGTAACAGTTACGGTTATGCCGTTCTCAACCGGGGACTAGGCATCGATGGGTTGCGTTTTGAATGGAAGTCCCTAATAATGGGTGCCATTTTCTGCCAAAATTACCGTTAACATGAGTGTGGGTTTTAAACGTTCAGCCGCATACCCCAGTGGGGGGGGGGGGGGACCTTCCCTAAGTTGAAAAATTTGAAACTGCTGGGGCGGGAGCATATTCCAATATTACGTGGTAGGCCTACCTATCACTAAGATAGTATCTACAATAATATGGCACAAACGGATCGTCGTCCGACTCTCGTCACTTTCGTCATGCGCGTGGGTTCGAGTCCCGTGCTCAGTAGACGAAAATGCAGAAATGATTGTCGCCACGTTAAGCACACGCTAATGAGTTCATATTTCGCTTTCGTTCATGGTTTCCGTATGTTTCAGTTTCAATTACTGGTCCAGGAATTGAACTTTACATAAACATATCATGGCTATTTTTAATTTCAATTTAAGATTTTAGGATTCAATAAACATGTATTTCCTTCTCATGATCAATATAAAACGAAATGAAGTATTTACAAAGTAGGATGATGCGAAACTTCTATAAAAAGATTTGTGCTAAGATTCATCTTTTATACGGTTTACACTTTTCCACTATCAACTTCATATTATCAAATGAAAAGAGAGCGGCCATTGACAAATTCAATGATTATATGGTATTTATATTCAACATTTCATAATTTGTGTCAGACAAAATCGCTGTGACCCCCCCCCCCCGCCACACACACACACACATAACACCCACAGTCTTTATTGCATGACATAATCTCCGCGCACCTAGGAATTGTACCCGCAGTAACATAACTCTATGGTTAGATTTGCTTCAGTCAAGTCTGACCCTCACACTTATAGCAGTGCGTATCAAATAAATGTTATTCAAATACAATTCAGTTCATTTTTTATCTTCTTCATTATTTATAAATCATTGCCGAAAGTTTTCTTTGTCTACAATAACTACAGATAAGGGATAACATGACAGTACAGGATAATATTGACAAGATATACAACATTTACAAAATGCAGTATGAGGTAGATTTTTTGATAATCAATTTGTAATTTTATCTAAGTGTACTTTCACTCGTTAAATTAGCTCAATATAACCCAAACTTCAGTTTGAAGAAAAGACAGAAGTTATCAGAACGTGTTACTTCAACCTAAATAAAACAAAATTAAGAATTGAAAAAAAAACATTACTTGGTATTCTGAAGGTTGCCCGGCGATAACGTCCTTAAGAAAGACATTAATCCACAATCATGTGCCACACTAAACCAAAATGGGTACCTGCAATATCGCTAGGGCCCTCAAGGAGAACAGCAGTGATGCTAATCAGGCTTCATTGGGTACAAAATAGTAGTAATAGCAGAAGTAGTAGTAGTAGCCATAGTAGTAATAGTAGTAATAGAAGTAGTAATAGTAGTATTAGTAGTAGTAGTAGTAGTAGTAGTAGTAGTAGTAGTAGTAATAGTAGTAGTAGTAGTAGTAGTAGTAGTAGTAGTAGTAGTAGTAGTAGTAATAGTAGTAGTAGTAGTAGTAGTAGTAGAAGTAACAGTAGTAGTAGTAGTAGTAGTAGTAGTAGTAGTAATAGTAGTAGTAGTAGAAGTAGTAGTAGTAGTAGTAGTAGTAGTAATAATAGTAGTAGTAGTAGTAGTAGTAGTAGTAGTAGTAGTTGTAGTATCAACATCATTATCATTCATATTTTCACTCATATTAATATTGTTATTAATCATTTATCACCATCATCACCATTATCACCATCAGTATTATCATTATTCTATTTGAATACCAGATGATATAAATTTGGAGGATTCTTCATTTTTAATGTATTTTTGATTGCTACAATATAATATGCAATGATACTAAGAAATTGTTAGTATATCCTCTATTCAGCTTTTTTCTGCAAAATATTGTCGAATAAAACCACCATTGAAATCACCAGAATTCATGAAAGTGATATTCATCATCGAAAAAGCACACAATGATAAATTCACATTACACTTTCGTTCATCGTTTCCGCATGTTTCAGTTTTAATTACTGGAATTGAACTTTACATAAACAAATTTTCCTACTAAGCCTATATCATTTTCATGACTTTTTTTAATTTCAATTCAAGATTCGGTATTTCCTTCTCATGATCTAATTTTCCTACTGAGCCTATATTATTTTCATGAATTTTTTAATTTCAATTCAAGATTCGGTATTTCCTTCTCATGATCAATATGGAAGTAAATTAAATATTTACAAAGTAGGATCATGCAAAACTTCTATAAAAAATATATGTGCTAAGAATCATATTTTATACGGTTTACACTTGTCCACTATCATCTCATAATCTCCACGCACCTAGGAATTGTTCCGGCAGTAACACACAACTCTATGGTTAGATTTGTTTCAGTCGAATCTGACCCTCACACTTATAGCAGTGTGTATCAAATAATTCTTATTCAAATGCAATTCAGTTCATTTTTATCTTCTTCCTTATTTATAAATCATTGCCGGAGGTTTGCTTTGTCTACATGCGTAATACACAAAAACTACAGATAATGGATAAGATGACAGTACAGAATAATATTAACAAGATATATAGCATTTTAAAGATGAAGTATGAGACAATTTTTTTATAATTAATTTGTGATGTTATCTAAGTGTACTTTCACTCGCTAAATTAGTTAGGTATAACCAAAACTTCAATTTGAATAAAAGACGGAAGGTAGAATGTGTAACTTCACCCTAAATAAAACGAAATTAAGAATTAAAAATCTTTACCTGGTATTCTGAAGGTTGCCCGGCGATAACGTCCTTAAGAAAGACATTAATCCACAATCATGTGCCACACTAAACCAAAATGGGTACCTGCAATATCGCTAGGGCCCTCAAGGAGAACAGCAGTGATGCTAATCAGGCTTCATTGGGTACAAAATAGTAGTAATAGCAGAAGTAGTAGTAGTAGCCATAGTAGTAATAGTAGTAATAGAAGTAGTAATAGTAGTATTAGTAGTAGTAGTAGTAGTAGTAGTAGTAGTAGTAGTAGTAATAGTAGTAGTAGTAGTAGTAGTAGTAGTAGTAGTAGTAGTAGTAGTAATAGTAGTAGTAGTAGTAGTAGTAGTAGAAGTAACAGTAGTAGTAGTAGTAGTAGTAGTAGTAGTAGTAATAGTAGTAGTAGTAGAAGTAGTAGTAGTAGTAGTAGTAGTAGTAATAATAGTAGTAGTAGTAGTAGTAGTAGTAGTAGTAGTAGTAGTAGTAGTTGTAGTATCAACATCATTATCATTCATATTTTCACTCATATTAATATTGTTATTAATCATTTATCACCATCATCACCATTATCACCATCAGTATTATCATTATTCTATTTGAATACCAGATGATATAAATTTGGAGGATTCTTCATTTTTAATGTATTTTTGATTGCTACAATATAATATGCAATGATACTAAGAAATTGTTAGTATATCCTCTATTCAGCTTTTTTCTGCAAAATATTGTCGAATAAAACCACCATTGAAATCACCAGAATTCATGAAAGTGATATTCATCATCGAAAAAGCACACAATGATAAATTCACATTACACTTTCGTTCATCGTTTCCGCATGTTTCAGTTTTAATTACTGGAATTGAACTTTACATAAACAAATTTTCCTACTAAGCCTATATCATTTTCATGACTTTTTTTAATTTCAATTCAAGATTCGGTATTTCCTTCTCATGATCTAATTTTCCTACTGAGCCCATATTATTTTCATGAATTTTTTAATTTCAATTCAAGATTCGGTATTTCCTTCTCATGATCAATATGGAAGTAAATTAAATATTTACAAAGTAGGATCATGCAAAACTTCTATAAAAAATATATGTGCTAAGAATCATATTTTATACGGTTTACACTTGTCCACTATCATCTCATAATCTCCACGCACCTAGGAATAGTTCCGGCAGTAACACACAACTCTATGGTTAGATTTGTTTCAGTCGAATCTGACCCTCACACTTATAGCAGTGTGTATCAAATAATTCTTATTCAAATGCAATTCAGTTCATTTTTATCTTCTTCCTTATTTATAAATCATTGCCGGAGGTTTGCTTTGTCTACATGCGTAATACACAAAAACTACAGATAATGGATAAGATGACAGTACAGAATAATATTAACAAGATATATAGCATTTTAAAGATGAAGTATGAGACAATTTTTTTATAATTAATTTGTGATGTTATCTAAGTGTACTTTCACTCGCTAAATTAGTTAGGTATAACCAAAACTTCAATTTGAATAAAAGACGGAAGGTAGAATGTGTAACTTCACCCTAAATAAAACGAAATTAAGAATTAAAAATCTTTACCTGGTATTCTGAATGTTACCCGGCGCTTGAGAACATCCTTTAAGAAGACACTAATCCACATGTGTCACTTTCCACCCAGATGTAAATGGGAACCAGAAATTGCTAGGGCCCTCATGGAGAACAGCAGTGATGCTGATGAGGCTTCCTTGGTTACAAAATAGTAGTAATAGCAGAAGCAGCAGTAGTATTAGTAGCAGCCATAGTAGTAGAAGTAGTAGTAGCAGTAGACGTAGTAGTAGTAGTAGTAGTAGTAGTAGTAGTAGTGGTAGTGGTAGTGGTATCATCAATATCATTATCATTGTTATTTTCATTGATATTGATATTGTTATTATTTGTTATTTTGTTATTATCGTTATAATAATTATCATTATTTTTATTATAGTGTTTCATTATCATCATCTGCATAATGATAATCAATAATCATCATCACCATCATCATCATCAGTATTATCATTATGCTATTTAAATACCAGATGATATCAGTTTGGAGGATTCGGAAGTGGCAAATGTAACCTCTCCAAACTACCCGAACGACTATGAAATCAACACTGACATCCGATGGAGGGTAATAGCTCCACAAGGCCACAGGGTGATGCTGCACTTCGTGGATCTGCACATCAAAGATGACCTCGACTACGTCACCGTCTACGAAGGTAGGACGCCGATATTTGAAGAGGATGTGCAGAGAATTCGTATATCTGGGTTCGACCGTCCTCCAAACATAACCTCTGTAGGATCCTACCTCTGGCTCCAATTCACCAGTGATGCGGAATCTAATGATAAAGGATTCAATGCTCTTCTGTCGTACATTCATATACGTGGTGAGTATTCTTCGATTTTAATCGACTCGGGCGAAGCAGGCACGGATCTAGAATATTATTTTGGGGTGCTTAGGAGGCTGAGCAGTTAAGGAGTTCTGGCTTTCATTTTCTACCTGTATCTCCCTTTACATTCTATTCAAGGAAAAAATGGGGAAAACTTAAAGAAATTGTGGGTTACGCTATTGGTGCTAAGGTATCTTCATTTTAGGTAATTTCGTTTCTCTCCTAAGAATACAAGTATAAATGAAAAGGCCTATTTCAGGCAGAATTATTCGACCACGGCTGTACAAAATACACATTATGGATGGAATCAATAAAATTGATGGGTATTCGAATGTAACTAGAAATACGACTTTACTATGCATTTGACGGCCATGCTGATCTATAAACTTTTAAACTAAATGTAAAGTCATGGAATTCAACTTTACTTGAGTCCGAACTCTAATCAGTATTGTATCAGTATATGAAAAACGAAAAGACAGTCAAAACTCATCTAAAGGGCGATTTCAACGCCCTATCGTGTTCTCATATAAATCATGTACGGACTACGTAATACTTCATGGCAATGTTCGCATACATCGAAAGGCAATTGTCTTTAGTTGGTGTTTAGGAAGTCTCTGCGATCATATTATAATTGCATATATTTCTTCTGGTTAAAAAAAATGTATTGATTGAAATTCCAGATATATTTTTGACGATTGTGGAGGCAGCCAATATAACATCTCCTAACTACCCAAACCAATACGACGATAATGCCGATATACTATGGAAAGTTACAGCGCCCTCCGGGTACAGAGTCGTACTCCATTTCAAGTACTTTATCACGCAGCAACACAAGGACAACGTTACTGTCTTTGAGGGTCGGGCACCGGAATTTGATAAGTCCGTGATAAGAATTCATGAATCTGGTAGCACCATTCCGAGCAATATTACCTCTGTTGGATCCTATCTTTGGCTCCGATTCATCAGTGGCGGACAATCCATGTTAGGCACACACACAGGATTTAGTGCACAACTTTTGTTAGCCGATATACCAGGTGAGGAATTAATCAAGGGTATTTTCAAACTCTCCATTTTAATATTTGCATATAGCAATCACACAGTTTCATAGACATCAATCAAACACGTAACCGTTTCGTAGACATGGTAGAGACAATGAAAAATGAGAAGCATTCATTTTTTTCCAAGGTTCATTATTCCTTAAATGATACAGAACTCTATGTCATTTTCGGTATTCTGAATGTCCAAAATTAACTACCCAATTAGTTCGGAAATACCAACTTTCGGAATTACAAACCTGCGGAAAAACTACGTGTAACCATACAAATTGGCATATCATGTTATAGATATATTGACTGCTATGAGAGGCATCGCTGTTTCTATATATAGGCTCAAGAGAACGTTACATCCTGTTACGAGGGGTCATAGCAGGATGTAACGTCCCCGAGAGCTAGTATAGAAACAGCAATGTTTTGAATATTAAAGCAGTCCGTATATCGTTTATATACCGAATTCACAAAGAAATCTACCAAGAATTCTTACCGTATCCTTTTCTTGAGTAAATATTGCTTAATACATCTTGGAAATTCTGAGACACTGTCTGTGAATCTTCGCTGGAAAGTTGCCTGAATGTTACGATCATTCGGGAATCGCACACACACTGCACTGTATGGTATCCGTGCTCGCACAAAGAAACTTTTTACACGTAAACTAATGGGGATTTCAGGAAAATTGAACTATGCGGCCCGTTACCCGGGGCAACAAGCATCTTTCTCATTAACTATTGCCCTTCATCCAGGTAACGGGCAATTCTTTACGGGCATGGTTAAAATCACGACTCCAATTTCGACCAATTAAATGTCTTTACTAGATTTTATTCAACATACTAAAGAGAGGTATAAAATCACAATATTCAAAGGCACTTTGAATATAGTGAACATGGTGTGATGTAATACGTGATTATATGCATGTCTAGTACATTCCTAGTTTACTCGTTGTCAGTGTTTGCATATAATAAATTCCTCCTGAATCTGTCAAATATAACACATCCATATGTAAGTTAATTGCTCATTTTGAATCTTTTCCCCTCTTGAATTCAAATCAGTTATCGATTTGACGCTCACGGAGACCGCCAACTTAACATCGCCTCAATTTCCAAACCAATACGACAACAACACTGATGTTCTATGGAAGGTGAAGGTTCCAACTGGCTACAGGGTTGTAGTGACCTTCGTACATTTCAATACAGAGAATGAAAATGACTTCGTTACTCTTTTTGAAGGACGTTCCCCCGATTTTAAAGAGTCTACGGAAAGAAAGAAGTTGTCTGGAAGTCCTCGATTGGGTAGCTTTACCTCTATTGGGTCCTACATGTGGCTTCGCTTTACCAGTGATGGAGGGAACAGCATTGCATTGCTTTCCCCAGGCTTTGAGGCGATGCTTTCTTATATTACGATAAGAGGTAGGTTCGGAAACTGACATCTCAAAAGCTCTGACTCATAGCATAGTAGTAATATTGATGAACCCATAAATATTGCATTCATCAAATAAAATAATCCATGTATTGGTATTTCAACACAATTTATATGTGTTCGTATTTCAAAACGCATTTTAACTTTAAATGCTGAATTATCACTTTTTTGGTATACCGCCTTTCCTTGCAATTACAAAGCGTTTCACTGTTTGCCCCATAAGGCAGTATAAATATAATAAACAATGATTAAACCACTTCGAAACTTCAGCTGGGCCAAAAATATACACATAATATGTAATTCGTACGAAAATCACAAATCAGTTTGTTGAAATTCGTCATATCAATAACCAATCTTCTATTTGACTTCCAGAAATTACCTTAGAGAATCCAGAGTCCGTAGCTGAAGTTACATCTCCGAACTTTCCGCAAGAGTACAATTACGATGATATCTTATGGAGGGTGAAAGCTCCAGCAGGCTACAGGGTGCTGCTCCATTTCACCGCTTTGGACACAGAACCCGAGTATGATTTTGTCACCATTTATGAAGGGCGGGTGCCGGACTTGGAGAGATCTACGAGGAGAAGTCGTAATTCTGGATATAACAGTCCGCTTAACATAACCTCGATTGGATCCTTCCTTTGGATACGATTTACCAGTGATCAAAATTACCAAGCCAATGGCAACATTACCTACACAGGGTTCAGGGTCCTGCTTTCCTCTGTCCGAATACCTGGTGAGCTATAGAATTCTTTTTCTTTATTGTTGTAATTCATTTAATACATCGAAAATTCAATTGAAAAATTGTGTCAGGTATTCAATTTTATAGAAAATAGAATGATTTTAATTTCATAAACAAAGTGGCAAGTTTAGTTTCTTCTGAACGTTGTCTGACATGGTTGATATAGCCCGCCAGACCATACTTCGGGTATAAACTGAGAACAGGCAAGTAATTCGAAAACGGCGAATAATGCATAGTGCCCTCATCGTTAAATTCAAGGTACTGTGTACAAAGGCAAGGGGGAATTACCGATCAGCACCAATTTCCGGTGACTTAACTATCTCTCTCAGGTCAGTATGCACTATGCGTTATTCACTGTTTTCGGAGTACATGTGTTTAACTATTCTAGGTTTTTCAGAAGTTGTGTCTGACTGCTTATATCAAGCACATCGTACCACGTTCAAAACAAATATGACATCATTTAATTGTCTATAAGATTGAATACAAGATGTGAATCAAGTTTTGATATTTTCCTTCAGATATCCTTTGCACGAAAATTTAAAAACAGATTTTAATCAAGTTGATATACTTTCATACTGTCATTTGAATACCAGGTATATTGTTAATGACTTCGGAAACGGCAAACCTGACATCTCCGAAATTTCCTCGCTCATACGACAGCAATACCGACATTCTTTGGAAAGTGATCGCTCCATCAGGCGAAAGGGTGATGGTTACTTTTTCTGCTTTCGACACCGAGTCAGGTTATGACTTCGTCACCATCTATGAAGGACAAACGAATGACTTTGAGGAGGCTGTTGAGAGGTACAAACTATCTGGGTCATCCCCTCCAGACAACATTACATCCATAGGGTCGTACGTTTGGCTCCGATTTACAAGTGCTGGTGACCTTCAGAGTTGCACATCATGCTCTGGATTTATGGCAATGATAGGTACCGTTCCTATACGAGGTGAGCATCGGACAACCGTTGAATTTGGAAAATCGAGGTATATAGGGACAAACATGGGGAAAATGCTTCGACTTGTTCCCCCCCCCCCCCCCCTGATGATGATTCAAACCTATTCAATTTATTTATCTCAGGATAGATAGAAATGGAAAGAGTCTGGATCACTACTTTAAAAAAAAAATTCATGCTGCAATACTCGTCCAAGTGTATTCCATATCGTCCCAGGATCATTTACCGAAATACCACAATGACCACTCTGCTCCTTATAATGTTTTCCTTAATAGTATAAAGCCTATTTTGAATGGCATGTTGGAAATGATTTTTACACAGAATTATTACTGCAAAGTGTTAATTGGTAAACCCAAGAGGCCTTCAGATGACATGTATTGTCCATGAGGCTGTATGGCCCAAATATTTACAACTTTGCACAATCCGATAGTATATTTGTCTACAGAATACATTTTCCTAAATGATACGTGTCACTCCCAGCCAAAGAAGTAATGTAGTGGTTAAAAGAAAATCACCCCTTGAATTAAAACCAGTTTTAAGGTATCTGCATTTAAAGTTATGTATTTTTTTGTCCTAAGAATATGAAAAGGCTTGTTTTTTTTACAAAAAGATGACCACGGCTGTAGAAAATATACGTAACGGAGGGAATCAATTGATGGGTATCCGATTGCTACTGTCAATTTGACGGTCATGCCGATTGTTGTTAGATTGCAAGTATAAACATTTATTCTAACTGTAAAATTATGGAATTCGTCTTTACTTTAGTCTGTATTGATGACATATCAGCATGAAACAAAGTCGGAAATCATGGAGGGATTAAGTAATACGTCATTGCACTGTTAGTATGGCGATGGGTAAGGCTATCGAAATTGCGTTTAGTTGGTTTTAGAAAGTTTCTGTGATCATATTATAATTGTATATACTATTCCTGGTTAAAAAAATACTTCGATAGGACAAAATATTTAAACTTTCACTTTAACTCTGAAACACGAAATATGTAGCGTATTACAATGTATTAAATTCGAATTGAATTCGCATTTATTTCGTTCTCGATTAAAAATTACATTGATACAAAAGATACAAAATTATTCATGAACAAATTTAGAAATGAAATGGGGAACTACATAAATAAAGCCCTTAGGCCTTGTACACGCATAGTTCCCAAAGCATTCATAACATAATGTAAAGCAAAGATTTAAAATAAGAAACAAAAAACGAACATTAAATAAAATGAAAAAAAAAAAAAAAAACATATAACACAAATATTAACATGAGATAAGTAACTATACATATTTAAGATAAAGAAACTGCTTCAAATTTTTTTGATACTTACAATCAGAAATATATTTAGGGATGTAACAGTTGAAGAGTCCCTAAATTGGGTAATCTAACTCATTTAAAGGGCAAAACAACTCTTGTAATATGTTCATTTGTATGAAAGTAACAACAAACAAAGAAAAACAGAATGGTAATAGTTTGAAATTAATCAGACCCAAAATAAGAGAGATATGAATGTATAAAATATGAAATCACTAAATAATTGTGAATCTCAAGTTGGCAATTTGGTCCGTAGATTGTGATGTATACAACAATTTCTCCAAATTTCCTTCTTCATTGTGGCAAGTTATATATTGTTAGCAGTTTATCCATAGCTCCTATAAAGATAAAAGAACCTCCCTATTCATATGTTGCTGTTTTTAATTGACATTTTAGTCATTCTGTGTGTTAAAACAAATGAGAAAGTTGTCCGCCACTACATCTTAAAGACATTACTGATCCAGCCAATTTGAAGAGCCCATACCTACATGTATAATGATTATAACTTTAAAATTTGCAACTTTGTCACTTTAAGTCTGATTTAATTCAAATGTTCACCTGTCTGCCTCTCAGATTATTGTGCCTTCTTCTGGTAGTTTGTTGTATGAAGGGGGTGGAGGTACCCTTACACTTTAGGTGCATTAAACCTTGCTTCGAGTAGAGAGATTTTAGTGTCTGTTTTGCACTAGTGCAGCAGTAGATCTGTAGGTAGCTGCGGCCATAACTTGTGTCTTCGTGTATGGTGTATGTCCAAGTTATCCTGGCGCTAGAGTCGTTCGTAGAAAAAGTATTGCAGTGCGTCGTTGCCTGGTGTACAAGTCTAACCGCAAAACATCACTATAACACAGCGTATACTGCGTATTGGACGAAGCCGTAACACAGTTTGGATGTATTATAAAAGCGTTTAATGCAAATTTTACCTTTTTTCTAAAATGTGTAAATGAGCATTTTAGGCGCAGTTTGTATTAGGTGTATCATTGAAAAGTGCTGGTTATTAGCAGACTTCACTACGTGGTGCAGATTTTTTAGAACGCGAAAGCAAAAACAATTACAAAAGTGAGTTAGATCCCCTTTACAGTGAGAAAAGGGCCAGGGCCGGGCCGCGGCCGAGCCAGGCCTCCTCGGCCTCATAATTTTGTGCGTTTACAACGGCCGCGGCCTAAATTGTAACCTTTCAATATTTTGTCGTAGTGGCGCTCTACATGTAAACAAACGATTATTTGGGGAGGGGGGGGGGCGCCGGGGAGTCACAGTGCAGATCCGATCGCGCGTGCGCGCGGGATATTTGCAGTGAATCTTTTCCCCAATTTCCTATACACGGCGAAATTTCACTTCCGGGGTAACAGTTGGCCGCGCATTTGGCCCTGTGTGCGTTTACAGTGAGAAAAGCCCGGGCCTGGCCGCGGCCGAGACTACCTCCAGAGCAGGGCCAAATGCGCGGCCACTTTTGGCCTCGCATTTGGCCTTTTGCGCGTTTACAGTGCTAGGCCGGCCGCGGCTCGGCCCGGCCCGGCCTTTTTGCTCACTGTAAAGGGGGTCTAAGACTGCGCACCATTCTTCCCTGTGCGTATCCATTGTTTGCATTGTCTTTAATAGCTTGGTGCATCCTACACGGCAACTTAAACGTAATCGAGAGTGCCTGAATCCATGTGATGGCAAATACCCTCAATTTTGTATAACAAATATTGCAAGTGTTGTATTGTATGAATTTTGTTCTTCAATATAACATATACTCACTCCAAATTTATAATACGTGCATATGATTCATTGTCCAACACAGCATAATTCTTTGTTCGTATTTTAATTTGCGTGATATTATGAGCTATCAATATCATAACATGTAATATTCTAAAATCTTGCATGTGCAGAATGTGTGTGAATCTCTTTGTTCATCATCTTCGTTTGCTGAAATAACACATTTTTATTCATTGAACGTAGTTGTCCAGTCGACGCCTCCCCTTACTACGGTTGCTGATACGAGTCCTACTACTACTTCTACTACTTCTACATCTGGTAAGAACCAAAGCATTAGTGATCATGCTCGTCCACTCGGCGATTTTCAGCGAATTGCAGGCATTTACAATGATAAAGGCAGGGTAGTTTACCGACATCGCTACCACTGCTGCAACGTTTTTTTTCTCGATTGCGCCATCTTTTGGTGAAAGTGTACAACAGATCGATTTCCGGTTCCTGTACAGAAGCATTATCACGCGCGCGTCATGCATTTTGGGATATGGCTGTAGACGCTTCGGGACATGAGCAACAGTTCCAGAATACGTAAACCTGAAGTTTAGTGTCGAATTACAGTGTCTTTAAAGACACGTAAACATGGATTCTAGTGGAAAATATTGCACCGTTCGGGTATTTACCTATAAACATTTAATTAAAATGGATTATGGCGCTATATAAATCTCATGTATTATTTTCATTATTATAAAATATGTTATCTATCACCAGAAGTGGCCTTCACGATCAACATGGCCTATGTAATGCGCTCTGCACTTTCCACCTATCGCCCCATTAGGAAAAGTCATCATCAAATGTTTCCTCCACCCGACGACTCTCCAAGAGACCGAGGGAGGGGGTATTTCTTGGGGTAAAATCCAATTCGCTGTGCGCGATACTTGTATAACATCGATAGTATTTCCTTCAAGTCTGCAATGTCTCAGCGAATTATGACATACTACATATGTAAGCTGCAGCCCATATATGTTTTAATATGGTGACGTATCTATGATTGATTGATTGATTGATTTTATTCGTCAAGTATAGTACATTGAATGCATACATAAAGCAAAATGGAACGAGAAGATACATTGACAGGATAACCCATGAAAGCCGGAAAAGGCTTATTTCCAACGGGGTCCTATAAAGTACGTGTACAGTACGGCATGAGAACAAAATATCACAACTAATAACTACTACGAATATTACGAATAAATAATATAACATAAACAACAACAAAAATTTCTAGAACTTATAGCAAACAATGATCTACGGTATATTATGCAAGATTAAACTTAAAAACGTGCGCTACACATAATGAACTGTGATTTAAGATTACTGATATTACTGTTCTTGAAGGGATTCATGCTTTAGGTATTGTTTTAATACACTTTTAAAGTGTGAAAAATTCTTAACTATTTTGACATGTTTTGGGAGAGAATTCCAAAATTGGATACCATTAAAATAAAAAGAGTTTCCAATTTGTCCTTTTCGCTTGGGTAAAACAAAATTAAAATGACTATTTCTTGTATCGTATCCATGGATATTTGAGACACGAGTAAAATTATTAGTAATATAATGATCTACATCTGAGTAGTATATTTTATGGACATGGTGTAACACGAGTTGTTTAGACCTTTGACCTACATGGAGTATACCTGCTTCTTCAAGTTCATTTTTCCCGACGTGTGTTCTTGGGCCTAAGCAATTAATAAATCTTACCATCTTATTCTGAATTATTCTTAACTTTTTCTTATCCATCTTGCCCAGACTACTGTACCAAGCAGCATTAGCATAATCAAATAAACATTGTATCAAAGCAAAACACAAAATACGTCTCGACTTCATGTTCATACAAGTTTGGTATCTATACAAAAATTTTAAGCGAGAATTAGCCTTTTTGGCAATTGAATCTACCAAACCTGTCCATGACAGATCACTAGTTAAATTTTTCCTAAATATTTTACTGAATCTTTTCTCTCAATCACTTGATTATTATAGGTAACCTTGAAGTCACGTGTATATTTAAACTTTCCCTTCGAACAAAATAAAATACTTTCTGTTTTTCCAACATGTAAACTAAGCTTGTTGTCTGTCATCCATTCGATGCATTTTGCCAATTCTGCACTTAGTTTTTCTTCAATTGACTTAGGATTTGTATCTGAATATAGTAACACACTATCGTCAGCATATAAAAGTAATTTAGAATCATTAACACAAGTACACATATCATTAATATAACACATAAAGAGAATGGGGCCTAAAATGCTCCCTTGTGGAACCCCGCATTTAATAGGCAGGGAATCAGATATTACCTTCTGCATAGTTACTACTTGATGACGATTAGTTAAATATGATCTAAACCATTTAACACATGCCGAATCCAAACCCATCACTTCCAATTTCTTTAACAGTATGTTATGATTTACAGTATCAAAGGCTTTTTGTAAGTCCAGAAGAACCATTCCAACAAAGCGCCCTTGAGAAACTTCATTCCTAACAAAATCCGATAAATGTATTAAACATGTTTCAGTGGAATATCCGTTACGAAAGCCGGACTGAAATTCATATATTAACTTTTTTTCTTGAAAATATTTCTCTATTTGAGCATGAACCGATTTTTCCAAAATTTTTGAAACTACGCTTAAAACACTGATAGGCCTATAATTACCAACGTCAGTTTTGTCTTTCTTTTTATGTAGCGGAGTTACTTTTGCAATTTTCATGTCGTCAGGAAAGGTAGAAGACATAAGAGATAAATTGATTATATAATTCAAAGGTTCATACAAATTTCTCGCCCCATCTTTTAAAAATCTGGCTGGTGTCATATCTAGTCCAGTACTTTTCGATACTTTCAACTTGTTTAACTCATCTAAAACAAACTTTTCTGTAACTGGAGAAAAGTGAAAACTATCTTTTGAGATGTCTTTCTCGTCATAAAACTTTTGAAATCTTTCACTGTCGGCATGGAATTTGTTCGTGTTTACTGGTAATTTACACGCTAACTTGTCAGCCACAGTTGTAAAATAATTATTGAACTCATTTGCTATTCTTGATTTATCATGACATAATTCTCCCTGGACATTAATAACTGTCTCTTGAGCACTTTTCCCTTTGCCTTTTAGACCTAAACCCTTCAAATTTTTCCATAACTTCCTGGAGTCATGTTTGTTTTCTTCAATTTGATCTTGAAAATATTCGACTTTAGCTCTTTTAACCTTTCTTTGTACTAGATTCCTTAATGCTTTGTATTTTCTTGCGAGATCCAAATTACTAATATCCCTTTTCATATTTTTGTAAGCTACATTTCTCTCTTTAATTATCGCAATAATTTCATTGTTCATCCATTTTTCTGTTCTTTGCTTGATTCTTACTTGTTTAAGAGGTGCACTCATATTAACTATTGATAAAAAAATAGTTTTAAAATTTGCCCATGCCATATTTACTTCGTTACATTCTGTTATTTTAGACCAATCGACTAGAGATAAATTTAAATTGAAATCATCTACATTATAACTTTTCATTCTTCTAATGGATATAGTTTTGTGGTGCCCAAACACGGGCCTAATAAGCTTCCTTGAGCAATAAGTTATTGAATGATCACTTATGCCAAGGTCAATAACGCCACTTTGACATATATGCTCTTCTTTACTACATAATACGTGATCTATTAATGAGGAAGTCGTCTGTGATATACGAGTGGGCAGATTTATAAGTTGGTTCAAACCATTTAAATTCAATATATTTTCATATTTTCTGGATAATGGAGACTTTCGCAAAAGGCAAATATTTATGTCTCCTAAAACTATGACCTATATTTTTACTCGTGACCAAACTTCACGGACTGTGAACATAATAAATTTAGCTTTTATAGAAGCAGAAAATTAGAGGAACAGGTGAGTGGAACTTTGAGTAAAATTCGATTAAAAGTAAGAAATGTTATGAAATGTTGAAGTTGCGATCAATCACACACAATTTGGCAACTCTGTAATGTATCTTGCGAGCTCCCCGTTCTATTTGCTCTGCCCTAAAAAAAACACAGAAATATTGTTTTACCTCAAGAAAAATTTCATGTTACATGCACCCTAAATATAATTTATTTCTATCTAACCCATTTATGGAAATAAATATATTCTGTCATATATAACGAAGAAAATGTAAGTTTATGAAATTTTATGCACAGAGCACAGACGGGTTTTGGGTTCCAGAATGTAAATGGCAGTCCCAACAGTTGACAATTTTCCCTAGTGGTGTTGTGAATGTATAAATGGGTCTATTGTCTAAAATCATTTTCTTTTCCTTCAGAAGTGACCAGCACTGTCGCTGTGGGCATACTACTTGCTTTTGTTACGTTGTATGGAATCATCATAACATTGGTGTATCTGCATCTAAGGTGAGATATAGATCGAGTTGACCTTTAAAAGTGCCCCCCCCCCCTCCCCATCCCCCATAGCGCCCCAACACCCATAAAACTCCGATAATCGCACCGTACGCATGCTAATAGTAGTATTAATAATAAATAAATAAATAAAAAACATTATAATGATGATAATAATAATAATAATAACAATAGTAATAGTAATAACAATACTTATAATAACAATATTAATAATAATTATAATAACAATAACAATTCTACAAATTATACAATAATAATAATAATAATGTGATTAATTTTATAGGAGGCGCTGATGCTATACAATAACTATTTTACAACTACCCAATAATCTTTCTTTCTTTATTTCAGACGCTCTAACATCGCTCTAAAGCAGTCAGTCAGTGCAAGGGAGGGCCAGAGACTCGATCCCTACACCTCCTTAGATCCAACAACTATGGAGCATCCAGCCTACGATGACACCATAGCAACTACGCGCGGAGATAGAGGCCAAATGAATGCAATCGAGGGGGTAGAATATGGAAATCAAACGATAGTTGAGCATCCCTACACATCCTTAGATGCAACAACTATGGAGCAACCAGCCTACGGTGACACCATAGCAACTACGCGCGGAGATAGAGGCCAAATGAATGCAATCGATGGGGTAGAATATCGAAATCAAACAATAGTTGAGCAAACAGCTAGAGTGCAGCAATCAATCTTGAGAGTGGCCGGTGAGAATACTGAGCCGGAGTACGTGTTGCCGATTTAAAAGTGATTCCATGAAGAAGGACCCTGAATATACAGTCAAACCTATCCATGAAGGTCAATCAATGGAATAAAATGACCACACGCTGTAAAATAGTTGCCTTTCTATACACAGCTTCTACGACACACTTACCTTTCTCAAGGGAGACACAATGCATAGCCATGCACTACAAACAGGTGGCCACGAAGACAAGTTTGACTGTATAGCAGGAGCTCTATATGAAGTTATAAATGTAGCGAGTTTGTCAAAATATTATAGGCCGTTACTTGATAATCTTTGTTGATGTTGTTGTTGTTTACTTTTGTCATTCTTTCATAATGAATAGGATATAGGGTGCGCTAGGCCAGTAATATATCAAGGTTCAGGATAGGACGAGGATTACAACTGTGATAAACAAGGATAAGATTAGTTTTTCAAGTACTGATCTCGAAAGAGGGAGTTTGATGGTATAATTATGTGTCGTTACCGTATATAGCCGGAGCAAATTTGAACTTTAAAGCCATACTGTTCTAGAAGCACTATTGCAAATGCAGCAAAACCCCATCTAGCGCCAACTCAGGTCAGATGTAACAATATGGTCCCGTAACTGGATGCTTCTTTACAGTAGCTGCGCTGTTGGTTCTCGCATCGATTCCTCCTTCTGCTCTGTGGAAATGAGGTATTGGGTCACGCACTGTTGGCAAGTTGACCATAAAATGGCGCTGTGCAATAAACCGTACGCTGGCCAGGGTCAGAAAGTACATCAGTTCGTTATCGCTTTTATACCTTGAGATGGTCCCTGCACGTATTGTAATAACATGTATACTTAAATGAAATGCAGGTGTCCTTTCTAGCAGTATGCCGATGCTAATATCAGTCTTCTATCAACAATCGTGTAATATATATTGTCATAATTCTGGGGGTGCCTAGATTCTTGTAAAGATTCTAAGCTAGCGTCCCCGGCATATCAATCATTATCCCAAGACCACTTTTTAGGTAGAATAATCACAACTTTAAAATTAATTGTAAGCATACTTGATGAAATGCAGGCGTTATTTATAATAGTTTGCAGAAGGTAATATTAGTCTACTACCAATGATCATGTAAAAACAATTACAGTCTGTACATATGTGGTTGTGATGGAGATGGTGATATTTTAATGGCGGCGATGTTGATTGTAGTGACGAAGATGGTGGTGGTTGTAGTAGTGGTAACGATGATATTGATGATATGATGTCCGGTCGTGTGATGACGATGATGGTGGTATAGTAATGCATGGTGGTGGTGGTGGTGGTGGTGGTGGTATTAATCGTGATGAGGATAGTGATAACTGATGGTGGTGGTCGAATGTGATGATTATGAAAATGATGATAATGATGATGATAATGATGATGATGATGATAATGATGATGATGATGATGATGATGATGGTGATGATGATTGTGATGGGATGATAATGATCAAGATGCAGATAATGGTGGTGGTGGTGTTAGAGTTGGTAGTCGTGGTGGTGGTGGTTGGCATAGGCGGTGATGATGATAATGCCAGCGGTGTGATGATGATGATGGTGGTGGTGGTTATGGAGGCGGCGGTGGTGGTAATGGTGAAAATTATGATGGTGAAATGATAAAAAATGGTAAAAACATTCCTGTCTAGAAGTTATGATCTTTGAATTTGTAGCCTTTCATTTCTTCGAGACTATTTTTAAGAAGGATAAAATGAATGCATTCACTATCTTCCAGATACACCAATAAAGTGAGCAAACAAGGAATACATTTCTTGAAAAACCTGATGTAAAATCTTTTGTCAGTCAACTATTTTGTGTAATGCTTTTGTAATTTTGTTTGTATTCATATTTTGATATTAATATTGTTACTATCATTATTATTATTGGCAGTGTAAGTATTAATATTGTTATTGTTATTATCATTATCATTATCATTATCATTATCGTTATCATTATTATTATTGATAATTTTATGATTATCATCATTTTTATTATTGTTGTTATTTGCCTGTTTGTTAGCACTAACTTGGACCGATGTATGATCTCTGTGCTTTGATAACTCCCGTGTTTGTCGCCCTCCAACGTTAGTTCTGAATGCGGGTCCCTTGAAAATCAAAATCCTCTTTCAAATTTACGTGTAATTTGAACCGTCATGAATATTAGATACCCTATTTTAATGATGAAAGGAAAATGTCCACATTCGAAGGTTCGTGCTATCATCAAAAAGACTTGCCCTAACGCAAGACTAGGCAAAACCATACTCAAATAAAAGAAAGTACTGAGTATTGAGTATTGACGCCTACCGTTTGAGGTGCAAACTCTAAATATATTTTTCTTTGTAGTATTGCACAAAAACAAATGAAAGCCTCTTTTTTCTCAGCCTTCCAAATTACGAGTCGACAGCTAGGGGTCAAATTTGCCGCAGTCACGGTGACGACGTAAACATGTGGACCCGATCGGCTTTCCAATATGGCTGAGGAGATAAGCCGTGCTCATGCACTCTCCTGTTTATAAATGATTTTAAATTGTCATTATTTCAGATTGTTACCTGTTTGTGTCATCCACATCATGATTAATCTTAACTGGATAAATAATTCAATGTACAATGAGTTGTTTGATTTTACTTAATATGATTTGAATTGATTTAATCTGAACTGACTTTATTTGATATGACATAACATGACATAATATGAAAAGATACCGTATGATGCTATTTGATAGGCTTATGTTGTAATATGATTATAAAATGATATGATATGATATGATAAAATAATTTTGATATGATAAATGAATATGATTAAAGGAAAAGGTCATTGATTGCCTCAAGTCGAACATCTTGTGTTATACATGGATTCGAATACGGCGACTTTCCAGGTATAATTTCTTTTCGAAATCTATAATTTTTAACGAAAAACGAAAATACCGTCTGCATAACTAACTCGATCCCCGTCACTTTTTTCTCAGTCCGTCTCTCTCTCTCTCTCTCTCTCTCTCTTTCTAGTACAATCTTTATCTCCCCCCCCCCCCCCAATATATTTTCGTTTTTCCCTCTGTCTCCGTATTCATCTGTATTTATATATACTTTTTCCGTTTCTCTAGTAAGAAAACATAATATCCTCAAAGAGGGGGCTTAGGAAAAAAGGCAACAAGGCACAACATTTTATTTTTGAAGGCGGGACAGTTTTAAAGTTATTTAGAACATGATCGTAAAGACTTTCAAGAAATCAACTTAAGAGAGAGCTATTTCCAGATCCTATTGTTTTGCCTATAGAATTCATGTTCAGATAACGTACCTGTTATTGTGAGGTTTGCATAATATTATTTCATTGTGAGACCGCAACCTTATATACAAACATGAGGGCGGGTATGCTGACAGAAATGGTAAGAGAAAGAGATCGACAGAGAAAAGGAGATAGAATGAGAGAAAGTAAGAAAGGATATGGAAATGCAACATTAGAAGAATTAAGATGATACAACCACTCCCACATCCTCCCTTATTTAACTCAACATAGCCTATTTTATCTCGCATGTTCACCTAATATTTCTGACACCCCCACCCAATCTGGACACCATTAAGCTACCTTCTCGATGAATAACAGGACCCATACTACACCACGATACTAGTATGAAACCCCCATCGTCGATTTTTTTTTTTTTTTTTTTTTTTTTTTTTTTGTGTGTGTGCTATCTTTTCTATATTATTATGATATTTTCTAGAAAATTTGAAATATTTGTTACTTATTTTCTGATGAAAAAAATACAAAAGGAGAAAATCTTATTCATTCTTAATTAAGAAACGTATAAACAGAAATACGGCCCTCATTATGACATTTCTAACCCCATTCACAAGGCTTACTTCGAATCATCTGGTCATCGCGTCGGGTCGGGTGGTCGTCTTACCCGACCTTTTGTGAAAACATGCCCCTTTATTCACAAAATGTCGAGAGTAAATTGTGAAGTAACCCCCCCCCCCCCCCCCCCATTAACAAATAGTGTGGTCCAATTTACCCGACACTGTGTGAAAACACTACGACAAATTTACGAAAGGTCGCATGATCTTTCGTTTCCGTTTTGCGAAGGGTCGTGTAACCCGACCACCTGACTGGATGCGATGAAGTATTCGAAGTAAGCCATTCACAAGACGATTTTCGGCTCCCATGCACTCGACGTGAATGGAGTCGCCTGTTACCACTACAATTGTACTGGATTCCACTGACTGTGCACTAGATACATATTGTATTCTATCAAATGGATTACGAAACTTAAGCAACCAAATATTCCTGACTTTATCAATTTGAAGGCCCAAAGTAGTCCTTTTTCCTTGAAAATTAATACAAAATAAACAAGGTTCTTCCAAATACCAATTACTAAACTTGTTTCACTTTTGGAATATTAGCCAGCATGGATAGCGAAATCCAACCGCCGAAAATGGTGTTTGCCCTGAGTCGAACGACCGCTTTATCAAAAAGACTAAAAAGAAAATTCGAAATTGGCCTGGAAAACCTTTACTAGATTATCTCGCTCTGTCTATTTACCATAGAATCGGGAAGGATTCTATTTACGGTTTAGATTTGTTCGGAAATAGTATTGAATATAAGTATGCCATCAAATACAGTTCATCCGCGGTGATCGACAAACAGATGAAAGAAACAATTGAATATACTAAACCTATTGATTTTGGTTCTTTTCAACAACATCCTAAAAATGGATGCCAATTACGATTATGCCACCGCTGAGAGATGATCACGTTGCCTTAGACTAAATTCAGAGTCAGAATAAATGTCAAAACCATCGATTTGTTTATTTAAACTATTTAAAACAAGCAGCCTGTAACTGCTTTGTACGATGTTTCGAAGTCAGTTTTGTTCAATTTCCATACACAATAGCCCGAATCCTACTAACCAACAAAATTAGTCCACAGTTTCCACAGTTTTACCGTGGATGGTCCCTTAGTACACACCGCCAAACCAACCCCACACAGACTCCAACCTGACGGATTATTGTCAATTCTTATGTATGATATGATATGTAATTTTGTCTGGTGGCGGTTTCGCCGTTGTGACTGACTCGATCATCGAGTTTCACCGAATAAGGAGAATACAGACGATTATGAGAGAATAGATCATTTTGCTTTAATAGCATACAGGTGATCTTGCGTGACATAGCCGGCTTTAAATATAAGCCTTTACCAGTTTATAATAAGAATTGGGAAAGAAAACAAATCAAAACTGCCCTTAGAGGTTATCTTAATTTTTATCATGTACCTTTGTAAAAAAAACCTAGAATATCTAAAAAAATCGCAATATTGCTTGATCATCTTCACTTTCAATAACCTCTTTTTTAGAATATCATGACGCAGAGGTTTTCAACAAATAATTGCTCAGTCATTAAAAAAAGAAAAAATAGTAAAGGCCTTTTTTTATCAGTGGTTGGATACTTCCTTGTAGGATAATTGGAAATACAAAATCCCGTGAAGATATACGTACAGTAGGCCTATCTGACCTTTGTTAAACATTTCCGGTCGGTATTTCCTCAATTCAAACTGAAAGACAGCTTGAAAGAGAAACGAACAAAATTTTATAATAAGACGGATTTCATTTCTTTCAACTATGTGTTATTAAAGTCCAATTGTTTCACCCCAAAGAAAATAAGAGCGAAAAATACTTTAAAATCAGGATATAATTGTGTTTAACTTAGTGATATTTAAGTTAAGTCGTTCAAGTCCATAGCACCAGTTTATTAAATGTTTTTGTTCCAGGTTGAAGATATGGAAATGTGTACGGAATATTACATTTTGGACGTCTCTCATATGCAACCTGACTCTTACCACATTTTTTTTTAATGGATTAAATTTTAAATAAATTATTAGGTGTATAGGTAGGGCATTTGCAGTGGAACGTCGCTGTCCAGATTCCAAACCAGTTTGCATGACCTACACCGGGGATTTCTCATTATACCAAGATACCAAAAGTTCAGCAAGTCCATAAGCACGACGAGAAAGACTAGAGACCGACAGAGCAAATGAATATAATATATTATAAGGAAAGATAGAGAAATGACAGTCTTTTGGGCCGTCAGTCTCAAATAACTCTTTAACGTAGCTAAAGTGAGCTGTTTGGTCGGGTATATTGGACTTATCTGAGCTGAATAAGGTTTTAGGTCTAATTAATAGTGGATGACTCATATAAAACAACTACAAGGTTTAATTTCTATAAATATTTTATGCGAAGATGTTACGTTCACTCCAGCATTTAAAGGTAAGAGGGAAATCCCCGTTGGTGGTTACCTTGTTCTCCCGAAATTTACAGATGATATCCGAAACCTGTATTATAGGAAACTGATCTACACGTGAGGCATGCTAATTATAATGTACATGTCATGTAAATACAGCACCATCCGCTACGGATGTATGGATTGTTTTAAGGTGAAAAGAAGGCAGAAGTGCTGCAGTCGATGTCATTATGTCTGTATCCTTACTTCTCGACTACCATTAATCTGTTTGCGCTGCCTGGGTAATGAATTCTTCTTTACAGAATAAATCACGAGCACGTTGTAAAGGCACGTCCGTTCGAGTACTAGGAGGAAATGAAGGGGTTTATTTTGTTCATCTTTGGTGTAATACCATTTCTTATTAATACCAACTACGCACTTTGGGAAAGTAAGTACACCATGCTGATCATACTAAGTAAAGGTTTCATTTTTCATTTCACTTTACTTTCATTAAAGTGTTTAATAGTTAGAATGCCTATCATCATTATTTTCAGCCTTGTTCTTTCTTTTTAGTAGTAGTATTAATAGCAGCAGTAAATTAGTAGTAGTAGAAGTAGTAGTAGTAGTAGTAGTAGTAGTATAGTAGTAGTAGTAGTAGTAGGAGAGAAGTAGGAGTAGTATATGTAGTAGAGTTATTTCTACGAATTTTGATACCGAGTGTCAAATACTTAAACCAACTTCATCAAGAAATCAAACACTTTTCATTATTCTCTTTGTAGGTGCGTCTTCAGTACGATATCGGCAAATATCAACTTGCCTAAATCAGTTTAAAACATTATTGTACTGCATTTGTTCCGTTTATCTCTATATTTTCTGGTCTCCAGTATTCTCAACTGCCCATGACTACATAAATATTGAGTTATTTCTCGAAAATCCAAATTATCTCAAAGAAATAGCTGGATAATAATTTCGTCAGTTAGTATCATTATTTATGGGAAGGAAGTGGGTAGGTGGGATTATGGTGGGGATGTCTTCGTTTCCGTTGTGTACTAGAAGAGGGCCCATTTGGAAACGTTTATCTTTACATGCATAAACATACGTCAGTGTATTATGTGGGAGCTAATAATTTGTTTTCTTTTTAATGGTAAAACTTAACGCAGTAGACATACATATCCCCCATCAGTAGTTATTTAACTAAGATTTAAGATTTGTCAAAATTTCGGTCAGTTAAATATTGTTCTCACCGCAAGGCCCGACTGCGTTGTGTAGTGGTTACGGTTATGCCGTTCTCAACCGGGGACTAGACAACGATTCTCAGCCTTTTGTGTATACATTTACATGGTATGCATCAATGCGGATATTTGAACAAATTACTATATTACAAGGTATTGCTCTTTTTTAGGAAAATACCAATCAAAACAAGTAAATTTACTACTTTTTTTTAGGAAACAATATTATTGTGTTACCTTACATCAAAAAGTTTAAACCTTCACACTATTAGATAATTTAAAGGTTTGGTTAGTCTATAAAGTTGAATGTTACTAGAACAATATTCATATAATGTATCATGTAAGCCCTATACATTTGCAAGGGGGTCTTAATTGTGTACAAGCTGCAGGGATCCGGATCAACATGGCACTTTAATGGGATCTAGGACTCGGACGGATAATGGAGGTCGAGTTAGGCCGACAGCTGAGTCGATCGCACACTTGTGTACATTTTGACACTCAGGACCTCTATTCAAGAGAATGTGATACATGACATTTCAAGAAGATGTACTTTACAAATTATGTAATTAAAAGCTATATAGTAATCTAAAGTGTTACTAATGGGCGCACGATGCCGAGTTTGTCCTGGTATCGAGCTAACCTACCCCCGGGGTACTCACCAATACGGTAAACGGGGATGTGCCGCTCTAATGGGTTACCTTTTTTGCGAAAAATCCCTGAATTTGGGGTATGATTTGTGCTGCAAATTCCCTTAAAGTAACTCCACTTTTCAAATCTTTGCCTTAAACAAAGGTTTTAGTTTTCTTCAGGATAATAGCTCACCCATAAACTCGCTAAAGGGAAAAGTCCAGATGCAAAATCCTGCAAAAATCATTGAAATACTTTCGCTTTTTAATATCCATGTCCTCGCCGATAGTCGCACAGATATATCAATATCACTAATGTGAGCTCTGCTTCTGACGAAGTTATAAACGGGTAATCCCCCGCCCCCCCCCCCCCTCTCCTCCCTCCTCGAGCGTACGCAAAACAAAATTCTGTGTAAGCAATAAACCAGGGAGTTGAAATGGACTCCTGGCTAAACGAAGGATCACAACTTAGCCTATGCCACTACAACCTCCTGGTACCACTTTCTTAATGCAGCAGGAAACTTGTTTACTGACGCGCAATTATATATCCAGGAGGAGTAGGAAGTTTTCAGGAAAAAGACCCCCCCCCCCCCCCCTCCTTAAACATGGGTTGCGTTTTGAATGGAAGTTCCTTAAACATGGGTATTGGTTTAGACGCTTCAGCCGCACACCCCGGTTTAAACTAAATCTGAAAACACCTTCCCTAAGTTGAAAAATTAGAAACCGTTGGGGCGGGAGCATATTCCAACATTACGTGGTAGGCTAACCTATCACCAAGATAGTATCTAAATTACTATGGCGCAAACGAATCGTCGTTTGACTCTCGTCACTTTCGTCATGCGCGTGGGTTCGAGTCCCGTGCTCAGTAGACGAAAATTCAGAAATGATTGTCGCCACGTTAAGCACACGCTAATGAGATCATATCACGCTTTCGTTCATGGTTTCCGTATGTTTCAGTTTCAATTACTGGTCCAGGAATTGAACTTTACATAAACATGTCATGGCTATTTTAATTTCAATTTAAGATTCTAGGATTCAATAAACATGTATTTCCTTCTCATGATCAATATGAAACAAAATGTAGTATTTACAAAGTAGGATGATTCGAAACTTCTATAAAAAGATTTGTGCTCAAAGTCATTTTTTAAACGGTTTGACCTTTTCCACTATCAACTTCATATTATCAAATGGAAAGAGAGCGGCCATTGACAAATTCAATGATTATATGGTATTTATATTCAACATTTCATAATTTGTGTCAGACAAAATCGCTGTGACCCCCCCCCCCCCCCCCGCCACACACACACCCACGCACACACACACGCACGTACCCACGCGCGCACACATATACACACGCACACACACACATATAACGCCCACACAGTCTTTATTGCATGACATAATCTCCGCGCACCTAGGAATTGTACCCGCAGTAATATAACTCTATGGTTAGATTTGTTTCAGTCGAGTCTGACCCTCACACTTGTAGCAGTGCGTATCAAATAAATGTTATTCAAATACTATTCATTTCATTTTTTATCTTCTTCCTTATTTATAAATCATTGCCGGAAGTTTACTTTGTCTACATGCGTAATACACAAAAAATACAGATGATAGATAAGATGACAGTACAGTATAATAATAACAAGATATATAGCATTTTAAAGATGAAGTATGAGACAATTTTTTTATACTTAATTTGTGATTTTATCTAAGTGTACTTTCACTCGCTAAATTAGTTAAATATAATCAAAACTTTAATTTGAATAAAAGACAGAAGGTAAAATGTGTAACTTTACCCTAAATAAAACAAAATTAAGAATTAAAAACCTTTACCTGGTATTCTGAATGTTACCCGGCGCTTTAGAACATCTTTTAGGAAGATATTAATCCACATGTGCCACTTTCCACCCAGATGTAAATGGGAACCAGAAATTGCTAGGGCCCTTATGGAGAACAGCAGTGATGCTGATGAGGCTTCCTTGGGTAAAAAAAGAAATAGTAGTAATAGAAGTAGGAGTAGTCGTAGAAGTAGAAGTAGTAGTTGTAGTTGAAGTAGTATTTGTAGAAGTACAGTATGTCTTGGAATAAAGTTGACAATCTCACACTGTGTCACGCGCATGTATTGTTCCATAGACTTTAGGTGTGACTTGGTGGTATTGTGTCTACTTTATTTCAAGCAATACTGTAGTAGTAGTAGTAGTAGTAGTAGTAGTAGTAGTAGTAGTAGTACGAGAAGTAGTAGTAGTTGTGGTATCATCAATATCATTATCATCGTTATTTTCATTGATATTGATATTGTTATTATTTGTTATTTTGTTATTATCGTTATAATAATTATCATTATTATTATAGTGTTTCATTATCATCATCTGCATAATGATAATCAATAATCATCATCACCATCATCATCATCAGTATTATCATTATGCTATTCAAATACCAGATGATATCAGTTTGGAGGATTCGGAAGTGGCAAATGTAACCTCTCCAAACTACCCGAACGACTATGAAATCAACACTGACATCCGATGGAGGGTAATAGCTCCACCAGGCCACAGGGTGATGCTGCACTTCGTGGATCTGCACATCAAAGATGACCTCGACTACGTCACCGTCTACGAAGGTAGGACGCCGATATTTGAAGAGGCTGTGCAGAGAATTCGTATATCTGGGTTCGACCGTCCTCCAAACATAACCTCTGTAGGATCCTACCTCTGGCTCCAATTCACCAGTGATGCGGAATCTAATGATAAAGGATTCAATGCTCTTCTGTCGTACATTCATATACGTGGTGAGTATTCTTCGATTTTAATCGACTCGGGCGAAGCAGGCACGGATCTAGAATATTATTTTGGGGTGCTTAGGAGGCTGAGCAGTTAAGGAGTTCTGGCTTTCATTTTCTACCTGTATCTCCCTTTACATTCTATTCAAGGAAAAAATGGGGAAAACTTAAAGAAATTGTGGGTTACGCTATTGGTGCTAAGGTATCTTCATTTTAGGTAATTTCGTTTCTCTCCTAAGAATACAAGTATAAATGAAAAGGCCTATTTCAGGCAGAATTATTCGACCACGGCTGTATAAAATACACATTATGGATGGAATCAATAAAATTGATGGGTATTCGAATGTAACTAGAAATACGACTTTACTATGCATTTGACGGCCATGCTGATCTATAAACTTTTAAACTAAATGTAAAGTCATGGACTTCATCTTTACTTGAGTCCGAACTCTAATCAGTGTTGTATCAGTATATGAAAAACGAAAAGACAGTCAAAACTCATCTGAAGGGCGATTTCAACGCCCTATCGTGTTCTCATATAAATCATGTACGGACTACGTAATACTTCATGGCAATGTTCGCATACATCGAAAGGCAATTGTCTTTAGTTGGTGTTTAGCAAGTCTCTGCGATCATATTATAATTGCATATATTTCTTCTGGTTGAAAAAAAATGTATCGATTGAAATTCCAGATATATTTTTGACGATTGTGGAGGCAGCCAATATAACATCTCCTAACTACCCAAACCAATACGACAATAATGTCGATATACTATGGAAGGTTACAGTGCCATCCGGGTACAGAGTGGTACTCCATTTCAAGGACTTTATCACGCAGCAACACAAGGACAACGTTACTGTCTTTGAGGGTCGGGCACCGGAATTTGATAAGTCCGTGATAAGAATTCATGAATCTGGTAGCACCATTCCGAGCAATATTACCTCTGTTGGATCCTATCTTTGGCTCCGATTCATCAGTGACGGACAATCCATGTTAGGCACACACACAGGATTTAGTGCACAACTTTTGTTAGCCGATATACCAGGTGAGGAATTAATCAAGGGTATTTTCAAACTCTCCATTTTAATATTTGCATATAGCAATCACACAGTTTCATAGACATCAATCAAACACGTAACCGTTTCGTAGACATGGTAGAGACAATGAAAAATGAGAAGCATTCATTTTTTTCCAAGGTTCATTATTTCTTAAATGATAAAGAACTCTATGTCATTTTCGGTATTCTGAATGTCCAAAATTAACTACCCTAATTAGTTCGGAAATACCAACTTTCGGAATTACAAACCTGCGGAAAAACTACGTGTAACCATACAAATTGGCATATCATGTTATAGATATATTGACTGCTATGAGAGGCATCGCTGTTTCTATATATAGGCTCAAGAGAACGTTACATCCTGTTACGAGAGGTCATAGCAGGATGTAACGTCCCCGAGAGCCAGTATAGAAACAGCAATGTTTTGAATATTAAAGCAGTCCGTATATCGTTTATATACCGAATTCACAAAGAAATCTACAAAGAATTGTTACCGTATCCTTTTCTTGAGTAAATATTGCTTAATACATCTTGGAAATTCTGAGACACTGTCTGTGAATCTTCGCTGGAAAGTTGCCTGAATGTTACGATCATTCGGGAATCGCACACACACTTTTTACACGTAAACTAATGGGGATTTCAGGAAAATTGAACTATGCGGCCCGTTACCCGGGGCAACAAGCATCTTTCTCATTAACTATTGCCCTTCATCCAGGTAACGGGCAATTCTTTACGGGCATGGTTAAAATCACGACTCCAATTTCGACCAATTAATTGTCTTTACTAGATTGTATTCAACATACTAAAGAGAGGTATAAAATCACAATATTCAAAGGCACTTTGAATATAGTGAACATGGTGTGATGTAATACGTGATTATATGCATGTCTAGTACATTCCTAGTTTACTCGTTGTCAGTGTTTGCATATTATAAATTTCTCCTGAATCTGTCAAATATAACACATCCATATGTAAGTTAATTGCTCATTTTGAATCTTTTCCCCTCTTGAATTCAAATCAGTTATCGATTTGATGCTCACGGAGACCGCCAACTTAACATCGCCTCAATTTCCAAACCAATACGACAACAACACTGATGTTCTATGGAAGGTGAAGGTTCCAACTGGCTACAGGGTTGTAGTGACCTTCGTACATTTCAATACAGAGAATGAAAATGACTTCGTTACTCTTTTTGAAGGACTTTCACCCGTTTTTAAGGAGTCTACGGAAAGAAAGAAATTGTCTGGAAGTCCTCGATTTGGCAGCTTTACCTCCATTGGCTCCTACATGTGGCTTCGCTTTACCAGTGATGGGGGGAACAGCATTGCATTGCTTTACCCAGGTTTTGAGGCAAACATCTCTTATATTGCGATAAGAGGTAGGTTCGGAAACTGACATCTCAAAAGCTCTGACTCATAGCATAGTAGTAATATTGATGTACCCATGGATATTGCATTCATCAAATACAATAATCCATGTATTGGCATTTTAACACAATTTATATGTATTCGTATTTCAAAACGCATTTTAACTTTAAATGCTGAATTATCACTTTGAAAATTACTTTAACACCTAATCCAATCAATTTAAAAGAGTTTTTGGTATACCGCCTTTCCTTGCAATTACAAAGCGTTTCACTGTTTGCCCCATAAGGCAGTATAAATATAATAAACAATGATTAAACCACTTCGAAACTTCAGCAGGGGGCAAAAATATACACATAATATGTAATTCGTACGAAAATCACAAATCAGTTTGTTGAAATTCGTCATATCAATAACCAATCTTCTATTTGACTTCCAGAAATTACCTTAGAGAATCCAGAGTCCGTAGCTGAAGTTACATCTCCGAACTTTCCGCAAGAGTACACCAATTACGCTGATATCTTATGGAGGGTGAAAGCTCCAGCCGGCTACAGAGTGCTGCTCCATTTCACCGCTTTGGACACAGAACCCGAGTATGATTTTGTCACAATTTATGAAGGGCGGGTGCCGGACTTGGAGAAATCTACGAGGAGAAGTCGTAATTCTGGATATAACAGTCCGCTTAACATAACCTCAATCGGATCCTACCTTTGGATACGATTTACCAGTGACCGGAATTACCAAGCCAATGGTAACAATACCTATACAGGGTTCAGGGTCCTGCTTTCTTCTGTCCCAGTACCTGGTGAGCTACTAAATTCTTTCTCTTTATTGCTGTTATTCATTTCAATTTGATATACATCGGGAATTTAACCGAAAGATAATATTTTGACTCGATTCCTATCTAGTATTCAATTTTTTTTAAATAAAAATTTTCAAATTCATTAACAAAGTGGTAAGTCAAGTTTCTTCTAAACACACTCTGACATAGTTGATATCATACCACGTTTACAATAAATTAAACTTAATACTTTGTTTATCAATTATGACAATTTAATTGTCTATAAGATTGAATACCAGATGTGAATCAAGTTCTTTTTTTTTCTCCAGATATCATCGATGAATTGAAAAACACTTACGAATCAAATTGAAATAATTTTATACTGTCATTTGAATACCAGGTATATTGTTAACGACTTCGGAAACGACAAACCTGACATCTCCGAATTTTCCTCGCTCATACGACAGCGATACCGACATTTTATGGAAAGTGATCGCTCCATTAGGAGAAAGGGTGATGGTTACTTTCTCTGCCTTCAACACCGAGTCAGGTTATGATTTCGTCACCATCTATGAAGGACGAACGAATGACTTTGAGGAGGCTGTTGAGAGATCCAAACTGTCTGGGTCATCCGTTCCAGACAACATCACATCCATAGGGTCGTACGTTTGGCTCCGATTTACAAGTGCTGGCGAGCTTCAGAGTTGCGCATCATGCTCTGGGTTTATGGCAATGATAGGTACTGTTCCTATACGAGGTTAGTATGATATCGTGCAACAGTTGAATTTGGTAAATCGTGGTATATAGGGAAAAACATGGGAAAAGTGCTTTGACATCTCCCCCCCCCCCGGAATGATTCGAACATATTCAATTTATTTCGTGCAAGATAGGGAGAAATGAAAAAAGTCTGGATCATTTCTGAGAAAGAAATTCATGCCGAAATACTCTTCCTAGTGTATTCCATATCTTCCCAGGATCTCTCGTACACGAGGCAAGATCATTCACCAAAATACCACAATGACCATACTGCACCTAATAATGTATTCCTTAATAGTATAGAACTAATTTTGAATGGCAATAGTTGGACATGTTTTTTACGCAGATTTATTACTGCAAATTATTTATTGCTAAATGCAAAAGGCCTTCAGATACCATGTATTGTCCATGAAGCTGTATGGTCCAAAAATTTACAAATTTACACAATCCGAAAATATATTTGCCTACAGAATAATTTGTTTTAATGAAATGTGTCACTCCCAGTCGTTCCTCTTCTAACCCCCCCCCCCCCCCCCTCCCACTTTATAGTGAAACCCCAGTGGTGTCGTCTCCAAATGACTTTTCCAAAGAAATAATGTAATGTTTTTGTTTGCATGTTGACGTCCATGCCTAAGGACTCGAATCTCAATCGACCACATCACCTGTAATGAAGACAAGTGTCCCAAACGCAACACCCAAGACAATCTTCAAAGAAGTTATAGGTATGTTTTGAGCTTTGTTGTTCAGGAATTAATTTAGTTTTAATTGTATTCTTCTTCACGTGCTTTGTCAAAACGTGATGGAAGCGAATGCCTTTCGGTGGCAACTGTAGTCCTGTCTTCATCATGGTCAGTAATATTCTAATCTGCAAAGCTTCCACTAAAGCTTTGCAATCTCTAGACACCCGTAGGTCACTGTTCAAGTGCTCCACGATCTTAGCTCTGAATGGTTTGATCAATTTACTCATCAGCTGATTTTCATTCCATTCGTCTTATCTTTAATAATTGTTGATTTGACATCTTCTTTCTTCATCCTTGGTATGATCAACATGTGCAGCACAAAACTCTCATTTCATTGAGGTATCTTCTGAGGCATCACCAATCATTAGGCTAATGATAGTCACCATGCCACATCAGACCTTAACAAGCAAGAAAATGAAAGATACTAGATCTATTTTTCTCTTGGTCATGCCTACATTTGAAACATTCATTTTTTATTGTCATACATTTAATTATCTAGAAAAATTTGGTCAACGTAGTATCTTAAGAATGAGATTTATTTGTTTTATGTTTTCTTTTTTTATCTCTTTCCCAAACATATATAGTTATTGCATCGATCGGTTCTTCCGTGGCTCTTCTCTTCATCGGATTTGTTATTTTAGCGGTGTTCATGTATCATCGCAAAGGGTAAGTTGAACGAGTCGTGTATTACCTTTTAAACAATTGTTTCGTTGAATTTACTTTGGATGAATCCTGGTTAGTTTCATTGACTACGCCGCTTACTATCTCGTTTTCAACTTTAAATCAAAAGAGAGTGAAGGTTATGGTAAAAAAAAGTCCCTCGCAAACTGTTAACGGCTTTTCTACTAAAGGATGTGCTTAGATATCAACAGAATTTGTTTAGATTTTATCTTGATTTACGTATAAATTAGAATGAATATCAATAGTAAAAGATAACTTGTGCTAGATGACGGCAATGGTAACGCTTTGATCTATACAACACAGACTCCTGTCACATTTCTCTGATAAATGCGTCCTTGTGAGTTTCTGACACTTTCAAAATTCCTGAACATTTGACCAAACTTCATATCTAAACTCAACCTTGACCCTATACCGAACTTAGATACTTAATCGCAACTTTAACTGTAACACTGAATCTTTGACGAAGTAATACTCGAATGATTGATATAGCGGCAAATGTTGGATCACACGGAAATTGACACAATATTTGAACACATCGAAATGCTTTTCAGAAGAGAAAAACTGAACTTGGCAGGGTAATTGTCCCTTTGTTTTATTCTGTATTCATTTGTGAATTTATATTCGAAAGAAGTTACTTTGCGTGAATCTATGAATCCATCACCTGTACTTGCAACATTGTGGATTCCGGGGTTTTCTGAACATTTATCATACTCTCCAAGGATAATGGAACTAATTTGCATCATTGAGGCACTTTCTACAGTGTTGTTCTTTCTCTCTAACCCCCTTCACAGATCCAAAAATTCAAAGACTCTGGGCCCCTCCAGTCCTGATGACGAATCTGCAGATATCATGTACAGGAATCCAGTCTACGGTGCCGATGGGGATTCAAAAGACGACATCATAGGCTCCAGTGCAAGTAGGCTACCTACAGAGTTATATCAGGGGGTGACTCCCGATGCTAATGCCGCTGACTTGACTTACTGCTCTATTGACGATCTACCAGAGAGTGATAAACCATTACCCCTTCTTGGGAAAGATATGCCAAATATTTACGAGGAATGTGCTGAAGAGGATGTTCTTGAGTACAAATCATTGGCTAACAATGCTACGGTTGACGTAGTCAAATCACAGGGTCCGGTATCCTGTGTTCGAGAAGAAGCTGTTCCAAGGATGCGTCAACTAACCGAAGATGGATACGAAGAGTGCATCGTCGACAACAACAAAAACATGCCAACACCTTCAGCAGAGACAGCAGACGCCCTCTACGACGGGTCAGAAAGTGGACACTTGCAAACAAGAGCAGAAAATCCTTCGAGATCCAAGGCATCCAACGATAACGGGAACGATGACCAATACCTCGAGGTTAATATCCCTGGAAAGGCTTTTGGACATCCTACATTGAATGCCAGTACAGCCTCATTATGTCATGAAGAGAAGTATAATACGTTAGACTTTCAGAAGCCGGGTCATATCATACGTTCTATTTCTAAATCCCAGACAACCTTATCGAGGAATGCAAGTATCGAAAACCTCACCGATGCAAAGGAGGGTACTACCTACGACGCACTTAATATTCAGAAAGCTACGTCTCCGCGGAATCCTGCGAACGTCGTCATCCACGATGACAATGTTTACAATACACTCGGCGAATTTTAACCTCACCCCTGAAAACCGCTGAAAACAGCAGACATGATAGTACATAGAATAACGCCCAAACCGTGGAGAAAGAGTAGAGGCTAAAATCTAGAATTAATTTCGTCCGTCTATAGAGGACTGTACGATTTCATGAGGATGGTTTGGATATTAGAAGGGTTACGAAAACTCGAGATTCGAAGGCAACATTGTTGTCCAATTTAACTCGACATTTATGTTAAAGTTCTAAGAGCACCGTAAGGTCTAAGTGAAAGGAACTCGAAAGTCATTTTGTTTCCATAACATCTGACAACCTTGTCGGAACTCTCTCTGTAAACATGATAATTAGATTGTACAAATATATCGTTGTTATGGCACTATGAGTATATCAAAATCTGCATTTCTCCGCTTGCAAGATATACCTTTTTTATTAGTCGAGCTGCTTTGAATGTGTTGAAAGGAATCGATTAATATCCTAACAAAAGCAGTATACATGTTTCTTGGTCGAGAAATACACATGCACATACAAGGAGTTGTCTATAAAGTGCTGGGTCGACATTAATTTGAAATTCTAAGACATGTTTTGCAGGTAAAGATGTGAAACAATCTTCGGTGCGTGCGTGCGTGTGTGTGTAGGTGTCGGGGAAAGGGGGAGGGGGGACTTGTGCGTAGGGGCATCATACTACCGTTGTGATTGATGGGGTACATACAAGGCGACTGAACATTTGTCAACGACCAAAGAAAAACAAGTTCCAATATTAGAAACGACTGGAAACGCTTAAAACTGGTCTTCGGTTTCTCAAAGTCTTAAAGTCTCAAATTTGCTGACAGGTCTTCTTCGTTTATTAAGCAAGACCCCCGAAAATGATTGCCTGTGAATAAATACTGTAAATAAAAGGAGAAACGAAGAAATATGTACATTTGAAGATTTCCCGACTAGGCACTAAGGATATAAAGTGTGTGGATATAGATGGCGCAAGTTTCCCCCTCCTCCCCTCCCCACACCAAACCACACACACCCACACAACACTCGCACACCTTTTGGTGAAAGGAGAAAAAGTGAGGTGACCGTTATCGAGAAGATGAGGGTGAAGGATTATAAATAACTTTTGAGACTTGAGATTGGGAACGACCGAGGAATTCTTAATGGAACACAGGATGAGCAATCATGTCACTGGCGTCAGTGGAGCTATTTAGATTTCACCAGACTCATTTTGCGTAAGAAAGTGAAATAAGAAATGTGATGCCAAATACATGTATACTTGTAGCTAAGAATGACTTTTCACTCAATGGTTATGAAACCTTAAGAAACTTAATGGTATATGAAAGCCCCCGCTACACTACTTATAGCAGGGAGGATTAAACCTCCCTGCATGGTCACTGACAGGTAGTTATCTCATCAAATCAGCTCTCAAAAAGCATGAGAAAAGGGAGGCCAATGGTCACCGATTAGGCATTGTATGCTGTATAGAGGGTGCAAGTAGCTATAAGTAGTGCGGTGTGAGTTTAATGATTGTAAATGTGTTAAGCCAATAGGGTGCATTCGCAATTGACAGCACCTCCACCGGCAACCAGGCCATTATTTCATCTTTCGACCTGTGCAGCGCAGCACATTGTGACCAACTGATCGAAATAACAAAAGCGGTTCAAACTGTGTTAATTCATCCAATGAGATTAATTGTTCTGATATCAGCGCATTTTTTTTAATTGAATTTGGATGTAAAGAACCACAGATCAATTGATTCTGACTGGAAAAATTGCCTATTTTGGAAATAGAAATCAAAATAAATGGTCATTTCGGTCACTTTAATTTTGTTGACAGGGGTCTACCACTTTTTTTTAGCAGTAGGACATATATTTACATAGAATTCTCCTTTGCTCATAGAAACGATTGAAAATATCAACCCTAATGAAAAGTGACTATAGAACATACAAATGATGCACAGGTTTGAGTGCGTCGGTAGGAAATGTGTGCACAAGGTACCTTTGAATGGTTTCAGACCAAATTCAAAGGTACCACGTGCATACAATTCCACCGACCCACGAATTAAACCTGTGCATCATCTATTTTATAAAATGGGGCCCCAAAAAATCGTCAAAAATACAAAAACTTGTTATTTTACAAATTTACCGGGTGCATCGCAAATCATGCTTTCGGTAATTACCGGACGCATGATTTTGCGATAGCTATGCTTTCCGGTAATTACCGGAAAGCATGATTTCATGAAAGTTATCATGAATTTCTTTTTTTAAATAACTTTTTTTGTCAGTGTACACTCAAATGTAAACTCTATTTAAAAAAAAAAAAAAAAAAAAATTATAGAAAAAAAATTATAGAAAAAAAAAAAGAATGAAAAATTATAAGAATTATCAGAAAACAACTATCTGTAAAAAAAAAAAAAATTATCAAAAAAATTTTAAGAATTTAAAAAAAATGGATATCGTTGGTATCGATCCCCGATATTGGGTGCATATTTTTCTTTTGTCTCTATAGGAAATTGAAGAGGAATATAAGTTAACAGAATATTGTGGAAAAGAAATAATTTGAGATTTATAATCAAACTGGTCGAGAAATTGGTTTTTTTAATTTTTTCTATTTTGGTGAAAATATAATTTTGTTTATGTGAATATTTTTCATCTGTAAATGTGTAACTTTTGTATGTAAATGTAAAATTTTATTGGAAATTTATTAAGACCTATGTTAAAATTATTTTGTTATTTTGTATACAATGTTATAAATAATGTACATTTTTTCTTTATGAGAGAAATGAATAAAAACCTATGAAAACAAAAATCCAGTAAAAATAACTACACAGTAATTGACCAATCAGATTGCAGGGATTCTTCAGTGCAAAATGTTAGCCCTATATAAGCTATTCAAACCTTCCCCATCGAAAAATTCTGATTAAATCCCCTAGTCTCCTAGGGTATATAAGAAAACTACAGTTGATATGATGTCGATCGTCTTTTTTTAATTAAAAAAGCATTGGTATCGCTAGATGGCGTTGAGGATTTAGAATCCATCGTATTCTTTCACGATGAATAATTTGAGCGCTATAAGCAACTTTAACCACTTCATCTGTATATATTTCTAATATTTGGACAAATAACAGCATCTTTTCTACTACAAATCTAAAACGTTTATTGTGTCTGGACTGAAATCTTTGTAAGGCCTATGCTAGAACGATTTATATTCGATTTAGAGTCGTCTTGTTTAAAACTACAGACTTTGTTCTGACCATTTCAGCCCCACATGGATGGACAAGAGCATGAACGAAATGCAGTGATAAAGATAAAAAATATGCTTTGAAATGGAACTCATGTACAAAGACGCAGTAACGATTCAGGCCACAGAGTGCGAATTGTATTTTTTGGCAAATGGTAAAATGTACGGTTAAGTACGAAAAGAGTCCCCTCGCATACTCGCAAAAGCCTGAGTATTCAAGTTACCGGCCTGTAAAAACCGAAGTGTTAAAGGTACTAAGTCGCATTTGCAGCCAACATCAAGTGTCCTATCTGTGAAATTTAAACGTTAGTAGTGTCCTAGTATTCAAATTATGCAAGTAAAACCGTAACGTTCTAGACTTCACTGTCAGACACTATTGAGTGACTGACTTCGGTAACAACATACATAAAATGAGCTGTAAAGAGTACATGAGCCTACATCAATTACCTACTTCTTGTAATGGCCGAATTAAACTGATTGAATCTTTGCGTTGCACAAAACATACGACCATTCGGTACAAGGGTCTGAAAATCAGACTTTTTACTGAAAGGATTGCAATCCCTAAAGTCGTTTTGGGGGCCTGTAAATAGAACATATAGTACCTTTAACCCTACACTTAATATATTAGATAGTTTATATCTACGAACAGTGGCGTACGCAGGATTTTTTTCAAGGGGGGGTTTAAAATCAAAAGGGGGGTTTCCAAAAAAACATACACAAAACATACACAAAAAATACACATCAAAAACCACCCCCTGCGTACGCACCTGTCTACGAAAGTTTACTCAAAACGTGTTATGGTAAGTGATGCGTGGTAATAGAACGTACTTCCAAAACCAACAAATCATAGGAAACAAAGAGAATAGAAATGCGATAGGTTGCGAGTGAGTACCTCGGAATTTCATTCTGCCATAAATGGGCTGAACACAACTCAAGTGGATGAAACCAACCTTCTTCCCACACAAATTAAACATTTTGAAATAGTATTATGGATTAATGGTTCTATGTATGTCAGTAATAGACAGCCTTTGAATAATAAATGCACTCCATATTTCTACCCTTCCAGGATACTAGAAGTAGTAGTTAAACAAATGTCAGGAAACACCTGAATGGTTTTGATAAACATGGTCTTCCTGTGTGAAGTGAGTCTGCTATAATGTTCGATTCTTCCTCATTTTCCACAGAGTTTCCTTTATTGGCACGCCTTGATCAAAGCAAACGTATATTCAAACTGACGGAATTCTAAACTGCGAAATTTAGACTTGACCATGCAAAATACGCTCTTTCGCTTTCCAGCAAAAGTTAGAAAGATTCCTTAAGGAGAAGTATTTTTGTTGAATATCCTTGTTGTAAGCTTTGTGCTATATGCATCCTGGATAAGATTTTACAGATATTTGATGAACATTAAATGATCGTCGATTTAGTAAGTGTGTGGAGAGCTTTCTGAGGTATTCTCTTTGATCGTGAGATTACCTTTTATGGACAATGTTTGGATTTTCTTTTTTGATCTTTTATGGCGTTTTGGCATTGATGAACAACTCGTCAGCCCAAGATCCACGTAAGTATAGCGTTTGTGTTCTTCTATGGGTATTTTAAGTTTGAATAGTTTGCCGGTGTAGTTAATGTAGATCTACTCTAGGCTTTTGATTTGGTCAATGTTAAATGTCGTCTTGAATATGGATCAACGGGACGCCACTCAAATGGTTTAAAAACTGCCTTTCAGATCTAGGAATTGTAACTTGTATCTGTATAGGTAACTATATTTTCGAAGCATATGGCTCCGTTTAGTCTCATTTCA